CGGCGGGGGGGGTGGGGGGGGTGGGGCGGGGCTGCTGCAGCGGCTGGAGGGGTTGGAAGCTGGTGACGATGGCATTGACTGAATGGGGAGATGCCTGGCGGTCTGTCTGGTAGGTGGAGAAGGACGGCGACCTTATGGAGTAGAGTTGGAATGAGGGTAGGCTGTTGGAAGGTGGCAAAAAGGGGCAGCTAGCAGCAGGAAGAGGGCTGGAAGGGGCCTGTACGACTGCTGGGAGGTGGCCGAAGATCTGGGTGACAGTCGGGATTGGCCTTGAGGCCTGTGCAGTTCCTAGAAGGTGGCTTGCAACTGCTGGAAGGGGGCTGGAGGCCTAGACTAACAGAGAAGATGGTTTGCGGCTGCTGGAAGCGGGGCCATAGAGGCTCAAGAAGGATAAATGTTTCGTCGAGGTCGAGCTACAGCCGGAGCACCACCCGGACCCTTGGAGACGGTTACCACCTCAGACGAGTTACAATCAGAGCACATTCTCGTTGTCGGGTACAACCCCTAGAGAGGAAAAATGCCTCAAAGGCAGCAACTGAAATTAACAATCATCAAAAACCCCTCTACCCTAGGCAAACACAGTATAATATAAAAGATCCTAGCACAAAGAAATAATAATGAATTTGAAATTGGGATAGAAGTGGAAGGTGGTAGAAAAGGTGGGCAATGTATATGGGGGAATTAGAATTGGAAAGAAATAGAAATAGAAAAGGAGATAGGAAAGACAAACAATAGAATAAGAAAGAATTGGAGTTGGATAGAAATAGAAAAGGGGATTGATGAAGAAAAGAGAGGGAGAGAGAGGGAAGGGGTGGATCATGGTACTGTAGCAGCTATAGTACTGCAACCTGGTAAGCTCTCGTGCCACTTAGTGCTTAAAACTTGATGATATTGAAAAGCTTCCATTTTAGGGAGTGATAAGCGATGTTATGTGCTTTTGTTCGAGGGGGAGGTTTGCTAATGCGCGTGATAATATTTGGTATAATCCTATTTCTTGTAGTTAAAAAATATATTGGTGTTGAAACAAAAGTGGTTGGCCCCACCCATATGTTTAAGCTTTTGGGTTCAGGCCCAATTTTTTTCTATATAAATTAGATATCATGGATTATGCGGGCAACCTTTGATATTTGCCAATGCATAAATAACAATCATGAGGATGACTCGTATGCACATGTTTTTTCTGGGGACATCCAGTCACTTGGTAGGTACTTGAATATGCAAATGTTAACTTGCATCTTTCTTTTAGTGAGTTATTTGTTTAACCTTGATATAACATTTAAGAATGAATAACTAATAGATACTTTGATTTGCATGGGCGAATAATAATATTATGGAGATTTTCTTGTACTACATTCTGCGTTTCTTAATAGGACTAAGCAGTAGTTATGATGCTTTTCTGCATGGGGATGGGCTTACATGTCTTGGTGATAGTAAGGTATATTTTGCTTTATAATTACATATCATATCAGTTATTGAAGTAATATCAATGGCGATGCTGCCTAGATTGCTTGAAGCATCTCATTATTTCTTCATCATGTGTTGGACAGGATAAACTGCTTCTCCTTGGCTGTTTCAATTTTTCTATCATCTTATATTTTGCATTATGATCAACGATTCCTTCAATTTATCCTTTTTTTACTTGCAATGATATTTTTTAACTTTTTTTTGTTTGCTTTTTAGATCATACCAGCAAAGTCCTTGATAACTTTAAGTTCTGAATATTGATACGTCTCTACTATTGTCGCAGGATCAAGTTCCTCCATTTCCTTCTGAAACTTCAGTGTCTATTATAGAAGAAGAGCTTGGCAATCCTGTTGACGAGATTTTTGATAGATTTGATTACGAACCCATTGCTGCTGCCAGTCTTGGTAATGTTAAACAAATCAATAAATTTGGTTTCTAATTTATCCTAACTTATCTTTTCATGTTTGCCTTCATTATTTTATAGTTTGCTTGTTTCATCCACTTCTATAACACAAGCAAATAACATACATTTTTGTTGACCAGGCCAGGTGCATCGTGCGAGCTTGAAGGGGCAGGAAGTGGTTATTAAAGTACAGAGACCAGGATTGAAGGACCTATTTGACATCGATTTGAAGAACTTGAGGGTAGGTCATACAAACTCTGAAAGAAGAGTTCATTTTGGCTTGAGATACTGTCTCCAGGAAAATTGAAGATACAAGTTATATTGTTTGTGCCTGCCGTGTTTTAGATTTCTTCTCTTTTAAACTGAGCCCTAGATTGAAGGTGCTTTAACCTTATGCTTCAAGTTTCAGTTGGCTTTGCAAGGTGCATCTGATATTTGCGAAGCCCGTTTGCTTGTTTGAGTTGAAGTATTTGCCAGCTTATTTTTTTGCAGTCTCTGGTGTGCTTTGTCTACAAACGGATGCTTTTTATCCTGTTTAAGATCTCATTCCTATTAATAGAGTGGATTCATGGCATTACAGGTAATTGCTGAATACCTTCAGAAAATAGACCCAAAATCAGATGGTGCCAAGAGAGATTGGGTTGCTATCTATGACGAGTGTGCTACTGTCCTATATCAGGTTAGCTATATTACTTATGAATCAAGATTTCTTTGCCAATTTTTTTTCATTCCATTGATGCGGGAGAAATTTAGATGGGCCTCTTGTATTTATTCATCTTCTTATGTAACATACTGAAAGGAACAAATCATTTATAGGAGAAGTTTTTTGGCACACTCATAGTATATTAACTGATTTTAGCATTTATAAGGCAGACCTTTGTATTTCCTTTATCGGTCCCGTTTTTGGGGAAGAAGAAATGAAGGGTCGGGGTTGGGTAAATGAATGAAAAGGGGGAGAAAAAGCGTTAAGATCGGAAAGCCGAACAGGTAAGTTCTCCTATAAATGTGTCCTATGAGGGAGGCAATACCTACCTAAGAGTTAAACGACGACGTCGCCATCGAGCAGAGGAAAAGGCAACGTCAATATCGTGCAGAGGAAGAGAAAGTAGGCTCGAGTGGGAGAATCGAAGCCGTGTGCAGGTTCGATCGAAGAAGAAGATTGGAACGAAGAAGAAGAAATAGTGGCTCATAGAGAGGAGGCCTAAACGTGCGGATCGCAGAGAGGAAAGAGAAGTGTGAAGCATTCCCCGCTCGATCAAAAGCTCAGAGAGGAAGAGAGGTCGCAATATTTTCTTCTGCGTGCTTAAGGAAGGCATGCTAAGGGGAGGAAGGTTTGAACAAGTAAGGGATTAATAAATTGATAATAATAATAATAATAATAATAATGAAAATAAAATATTTATATATATAAAAATATTTTTATTAAATAGAAATTAAGCATGATTGCATAAAGAAAAAATTAAAATTTAAATAATGAAAAGCTAATAGTTTATTTAAAAATAATAAATTAATAAAAAAATTTTATCGTGTTATATCCTTTCGATTTTAGAAGAATTGACGTCAAGACAAGTAACAAATTAGTCGGCATCGAGGTGAATACTTGTACTTTTAAACTATAGTAATAATTTGTTTCTTGTCAAAATATTCGTAGTTAATGACATTTGTGGATGCTTTATTCTGAATGAGATGTTTTTTCTTTATTAATCATATCATGACTATGATTATAGCTTTTTACTCGTGCATTTTAGTGTATGTTTTATATAGTATGATTGAATATGATGAATACATGTTTATGTTGATTGCTTGTATGTGCATGACTTGCTATGATGGAACACCTCTTGATGATACAAGTGGAGGAACACTAATGTACCCATAAATGAAAAAAATATATTGATATTGAAGTACTTTAAGTGGTACAAATCTTAGACGGTGTTAACTGTGACTGTTGTATAAATATGAAATGATATTGATATGAAAATGAGTAAATAGATATTTATATACATGCCTTTTAATAACATGTCAAATGTTTTATATTGATTTATAAATAAGCTAAACTGACCTACATATTGTTTTTTCTTTTTCTTTTTTTGCTGTAATTTAGAAGTATAAGTATTCACTGTCTCGTTTAGCTTACAATTGTTTTAACTAACTTTTTAGGTTTAATTAAATTATTAAAAGATGAACGATAGACGAGAAAATGTTTATAAAGATGCAGAGAACCATCAACAAGATAATTTTAAATTTTACATCTTTAATTTAAATAGATTAGTGACTCATTCATTTGTTAAAAACAAGTTATAAAAAATGCATATCGGAAATTTAGTTCTTTCTGTCTGACTGTCCATTCCCGTCTTGATTACTTCCAAGCCTCGGGCCGGGCCGTGAAATTTCCATCAGCTTGTATTATCATGCAGCTTGGCAGCGTTTCTGTTTCTGTTAATTATATTGGATTATTATATATTCTACTTCTGATATTATTAAACTCATACATTCAGGAGATAGACTATACAAAAGAGGCAGCTAATGCTGAACTATTTTCAAGCAACTTTAAAGATATGGAATATGTTAAAGTGCCGAAGGTTTTCTGGGAATACACCACCCCACAGGTTTACATTTCACTTATCAGGCACAGCGTTCACCTGATACACAAATGCTATTTTGTTCGTGCCAACTAAGTGCTTTAGCTGGATTCAGGTGTTGACAATGGAATATGTTCCGGGAATTAAAATAAACAGAATAAAACAGCTAGATCAATTGGGTGTTGATCGGCAAAGGTACACATTTCTCAACCAATGCAATTTTTTTTTTCTACAACAGGTGATAGAAATACTTGTATACCAGTGTTTTTTTATGTTTCTTTCTATTTCATAATTTGTCTTTATTTGGCACTTTAATTGAGATGAAATTTTTTTTTTTCAGGTTGGGTAGGTATGCTGTGGAATCATATCTTGAGCAGATTCTATCTCATGGATTTTTCCATGCTGACCCAGTGAGTTACATTATAAGCATGAGTTCTTTATAGTAATTTTTTCTCCATTAATCATTTCCCAATGGAATATCAATGTAAGTCAAAGATAGCAAATATTATCTAGCCCTTATGTGATATGCTCTTATTTTGCAAATAATAGGTTAAAAAAATTATTATGCTTAATAAAAAAAGCATCCATAGAGGCAACATTTAGAAATTAGAGCACCATTTACATGAGCATGCATGTAATTATTTATTAAAAAAATATACTATTGGCTGTGTAAATCATACTTCACGGATGCTATATTGTTACATTCGAATCAAATGTAGATTGCTAGAGATAATTAAAATATGTGGAATATTAGAAGTGTTTTATTATCAGAATGTATAATAAGTGCACAATTGCATACGCTGAAAGGCTATATTTTAAGTGTGGGTGGGAAATTACAAAGAAAGAGATAGGGATTAAGGACATAACAATTGCGTTGTTTTAATTTCCTAGCACATTATTTTGTTATTTCTATTATCCATGCTTTCTTGTTGCAGCACCCTGGAAATATTGCTGTTGATGATGTCAATGGTGGGAGACTTATCTTCTATGATTTTGGAATGATGGGAAGGTTTACCGGCTTTCTTCTTTTGTTCTGTTTGCATTTTGCTCAATTTTTAGTAACATTTGAATTTGATTTTCGTCATTTCTAATTACTTCCTTTCATGAACATACAGCATTAGTCCAAATATCAGGGAAGGACTACTCGAGGCATTCTATGGGGTTTATGAGAAAGACCCTGATAGAGTAAAGTTCCCTGCATCCTTGAACGCTAATCAGCTGCATACTTTCATTAGAAGTGAATATTATGCTGTGACTCTGCAAATTTACATGTTATTGTGCGGGCAAACTATGTTCAAAATAGTATTTAAGATGAAGCAAATGAATGCACTTGTTTGACGTCATGCTTTACCTTTTTTTTTTTTTTTTTATTTCTGGATCTGACAAAACTAGATAATCATCCCCTTCAGATAAGGTCTCGATTCATGTGAATGGTGGCTGGAGCGTGTCTAATGCTGAATCTGGGACTTATAGATATTACTTCAGTTATTGCGGTCGCCTGCAGTTTTGATATTCCATGTCTTTATTATGTACCATCTTAATAGTTATAAAAAGTTAATGGTTTATTTCCATTTATCCTTGCTGAACC